GTGACCTAAATTCCCGTCCGTCCAATAACGGTGCCGGTCAAAGCGCACGAGAGGGTTGTTTTCGCATTTAACGGGGAAACCAAAGCCAAGCCGTCGACAGCATAGCGCAAAGCTGGAAATATGGGAAAAGTCCAGGATGCAACGAGGGGGTCACGTCCATCTCAAGAATTGCATGACCTCGTTCCTCCCTTTGTTGACCTCCCTTGGAGATGTATTGTTCTAACAATTTTTCTGTCCTGGTAAGCTGACTAATTCCTCGAACTATATGAAGGGGATTTAATAGACTTCTCGGTCTAAGCGTCTGAGGACGCGCCGCCTTCATCAAGTGTGGGCCTCAGTCGGTCCGGTATTCAGCGCGCGCAGATCTTCAGTCGACAGGCGAGGCACAAGAAAACTGTGCCGACTTTAGCAGAAAGAGTACATTTTTCCTAGATTTTTCCATAACGAAACTACCTTAGATGGAACTAATGTGGGTCTTTCATAGCAATACTCGCTGTGGACAAGGTTCGATGGAAGCGGTTGGAATGTGCATCGGACATCCAGCAGGTACGAGATCTCAACACCCGCCACATGTTAAGTTGCAGATAGATAGTCCTTTGAGCTGTCCGTCGACCTCGGCCTGCTCCGCGCTTCGTTCTGAGCGTCGAAGACATCAGACGATTGGCTGGTTAGATCACCCGCTAAAAGTCGACGCACAGCCGGGTGGCCAAACGGATCAGCCCTCAGGTAGTCTTAACTCGTCACATCATGTACGGTGTGGGTCTGACTTCATGCCTCACACGACATTACAACTGCTTCTCGATAAATGAAGAGTCTCCCATATTTTTTTTCTCATGCAAACTGTGCTAGAAAGATCGAGACACTACATGCGCAAAGCTCTGAAATTCTCTTGGAAAATAGGAGAGTTGAATCAATGAAAGGTGAAACTGAGCATGAGTATTGATTGCGTGAAGACAGATTGCCACTGCGTATCCGTCCGGTAAGCAGGAAGTCCTACACCGCTCTCGCAGGGGACGGATCCAGAATACCGTCAAAGGCATGGGGGGCACGCAACGTTGTGCGGCCTCCTGGAATTTGGGGCCTGCCTAAAAAAATAGCCTCGCATTCCGGCCTTTAATTTTACGATTGACATTAAATATATATATATATATATATATATATATATATATATATATATATATAATGAATACGGCAATTCATCTTACTGTGCTAAAGCTAGTCATGTTATACATGAACATACATGGAGCTCATTCATTTTGTCCAAATCACCTTAAATCCTGTGATTTTGACAGTAATTGTTCCGCAGAAACGGGCAAAGTGAACTAAAGTTGGACCCTAAGTACCATCAAAACCAAGCACGGATTCAATTCCTGACTTATTTACGGCTATCGGCTGGGCGATGTTATTAGCTGATGACTGAAAACTAATGTAATTTTTATGAGTATAAACAAGTACAAGATATTCCAGCATTCAAAATATGTTTAGAACGTGATGCACGGGTTTGACAAAAGTCACACACTCAATCGTCTGGGGAAATGACACATGCGACGTCGGAGGCACACAAAATTACCTTTGACTATTGCGCGGAAAAACTCATCAGCGCATATGCGACTGCTGCTCTGAGGCTAAGGCACCAAGGCTGATAGGGACGGAACCTGACTGACCGTGGGTGCTCTGCGAGGCCAACAAAGAGGCTCTCTCAATGGGCATAAGGTCCTGAGGGCAAGTGAAAAGAACTCAAGACCAGCGTGGTGGGCCGCTAGACGATCGGTAGTGCCCCGGCAGGCCGTCATATAAGTTCCCGGCCAGAACACAGTACCCTCTGAGCAAAGCGGAATTATGCACAACCATGAATTGATACCCCTGTGCGATCAAAAGCGCTCAGGCAGGGTTAACAAAAAGAGTCCGATAAAAGTGAAGAGTCCTTCGCAAACAAAATCAAAGGGAAAGAGCCCTCAATCAAAGAAGAGGGACCCTGAGCGTCGAGTGTCTCGGTGCCTTACCTTATATGACCCTCAGCAACAGCACAAGGCCCCCCGAGCAAGTGGAAATAATCTAGGACTAATATGAAGGGCTCCTGAACAGCTGAGCGTACTCTGACAAATGGAGCCCCGAAAAAAGCGTATAAAGCTTTTCGGGCGAATGGGAAGAATCGGTGGAAGGCCCCTGATCGATCAAGAGTGCACAGGCATGGAGGCAGATAGTGTCCCAACTGAAGCGTTGAGATCCTATACGGAAAATGGAAAAATGGTAAGAGATTAAGAGTAGCGTGGAAGGCTCCTTGATGATCAGGTTGGCCAGGCAACTAGACAAGTATGGCCCGGGCAACAGCGTAAGGCCTCTAGAAAGCATAATGAGCCCGACAACTTCCTTCAATCGCCAACCTCGCAATCAGTAAAGATTTAAATTAGCTTGGCAATAAACTGTTTACTTCCGTTTGAACCATTCTATGTCGTCTGTAGGCCCAAACACGTCCAATTTTGTTGTGTGTGTGTGTTTTGCTTTACAAAACTGTCCGTTCAGTCGGCTATTGGCCAGTTCGAAGCCCATGAGTCCCCTTTGCATGGTCCATTGGGCATGAGCCATGGGTCATGATCCATGGGGCATGGTTCCCCCCCCCCCCCCCTTTGTATCCGCCAACGGCCCGAGCAGCTTAATAGACGGGGCCCCCCAAGAACATAAGGCCATCCATTCAAGTAAGAAGCATTCAAGACAACATGGAGGGCCCCCAAATGATCGAGCGCGTAAGAGCAGGTTAGCAGATTGTGCCCCCCCCCCCCTCAAGAGCGTAGGGCCCTCCATTCAAATAAAAAAACACCTAAAACACAATGTAATGTAAATGGCCCCGAACGATTGAATGTGCACGAACAACTTATCGGAAGGGGCTCGACAGAGCGTAGGGCTCTTCATTCAAATAAGAGATACTCATAACCCGATGCGGCGGACCACCGAAAGATGGAGTGCACCCGAGCAGATTGTCAGATGGCCCCCGATAGGAGCGTAATGCCCTAAATTTAAACACCAAGAACTTATGTACAGGGCCCCCGAACAATCCAGTGTAACCGAGGAGGCAAACAGAGGGGCCCTCGACAAGTGCGTAAGGTCTTCCATTCAAATAAGAACCACCCAAGACGCAATGTGGGGCTGCTGAACAATCGAGTGTGCCCGAATACGTTAACGGATGGGGCCCTCGACAAGAGAGTAGGGCCTTCCATTCAAATATGAAATACCCACGATAGCGACATAGAGGGCACCGAATGATCGAGTGCGCCAGAGCAGGATAACAGATAGGGACGCCCGTTAAGAGCGTAGGGCCCTCCATGCAAATGGGAGGCACTCAAGGCCCGGTGTAGAGGTCCCCCAATGATCCAATGTGTCCGATCAGCTTATCAGAAGGAGCCCTGACAGGAGCGCAAGTCCCTCCATTCAAATCAGAAGTACCCAAAACCCAGTGCGGGGAGACTCCCGAAAGATGAAGTGTGCCCGAGCAGATTATCAGATCGTCACGATATGAGCGTAGGGCCCTAAATTCAAACACCAAGACCCAATGAGCGGGCCCCCGAACAATCCAGTGTCGCCGAGGAGGTAAACAGAGGAGCCCCCCGACAAGCGCGTAGGACCTTCCTTTAAAAAAGGAAGCATCCAAGACCTAATGTAGAGGACCCCGGAACGATCGAATGTACCCGAACAAGTCACGAAATAGGCCTACGAGAAGAGTGCAGAGTCTTACATTAAAATAACCAGTGCGCAGGGCCGCCGAACAATCCAGTATGCCCGAACAAGTTAACAGTCGTGGCCCCGACAAGTGTGTAGGGCTCTCCATTCAAACAGAAAGCACCCAAGGTCCAGTTTGATGTGCCCCGAACGACCGATGTGCCCAAGAAGATAAACGGATGGGCGTCCGACAAGAGAGAAGTGGCAGAGAATTGGAAGCGCCCTAGACCAATGTAGGGGCCCATGAGCATATCGTGAGTGTGTCGGTAGGTTAACCAACACCGACATAAAGGGCGCCTAAGCAACCGAGAATACCCCGGCAGGTTAACACCTTGGACCCCAGTTTTAGCGTACAGAGCCTTTTTGGCGAATAGAAGGAATCTGTGGAAGGTCCTTGACTGACAAGAGCGCCCCGGCACGCTAGCAGGAAGGGCCCAGCAACAGCACAGGCTCTCCCGGGCATATGCTAAAAATCGGGGGCAAAGTGGAAAGCTGCTTAACGATTAGAATGACCCTGGAAGTGAGCATATAGGTCCCCCGGAAACGGCATGGCCCCCCTGAGCAGCATAATAAAGCTTGAAATTCCAGAATACCCGTTTTTTAATCATCGAAGTTTTGTTTTTCTCCACTCGTGGGGCCTTTACCTTCGTTTGCGACTGTTCTTGGTCACGTGCAAGTCCAAAGACGCCCAATTTTGTTGCGCTTCGTGTTAAAAAGCTGCACCTGTTCGGCCGGCTATGGCCCCCTCGGAGTCAGTAGGCCTCTTCGGGCCCAAGGTGGCATGGTCCCGTGTCCCCCTCCCCCCTCTGGATCCGCCCCTGCGCTCACGCGATGCGAGTAACGTTCACTCATCTTGAGCTGCTTTTCTAAAGCTTCGCGGTAGCTACTTGAAGTGAAACTGACGACAAATTGGGGAAGTAAGCAAATAGGAAATCGCCTGTACCAAAACGTACGATATTTTTGTCTTCACTTAGCGAACTTTTAATCTGGCAGCCCTGGTACCAAACATACGTGTAGCTCGGCGACCTACAGGAAACCCAGTATAGCCGAAACCGGCATATCATTTATAAAAAGTATACATTTTGTCATCTAAATGCATATACTTTTCATTTTTTGTAAATTTATTGTATTTTTAATGTTGTTTTAAATACAATTATGCTGAAATAAACCAATAATATAGGCAAATAATTGTGTATGTCTTAAAACCCGTTTATATCGCTAGCTCCACCAATACGCGCTATGGTACCATATGAAATCGGCGCAAGAGACGCGCCATTACGAGCGACCGGCTGTTGCCAAAATACCGTAGCTCGCCGGGCAGGCGTCCTCTGACCAGTTGTGTTCAGTTCGGAAAACCTCGCATTAAAATTTGGATACGTGGTTAGATAGCGTCAAGCTAGATCATGAATACCTTTTTGTCTCGGGGTAATGCACTGCTTGCTTTCACATTGTCGGTACTCGCATCCTTAACTTTTTGCTGTTTTGCGTCCACATTCTTCAACGATAATAGTCGGACTGCTAACGTGAAGACGGTTCAGGTGGTTGTGTAAGTATATGATTTACTTAATGGTTCATCCAAATGTGAAAACATCAGTTGCCTTGGAACATTAGGCATGTACCTGTCAAGGGTATTCAGTGATGCTTTGATTCAGAATTTCAGGTGTTCAGGCCTTCGTAATTTACTCTCTTGAACTGGTTAGCATGGTACCACTGTGTAAGTGTTAGTTGATGCTGAACATATATGTGTCATAGGATGGTTGGAATGTGGTGATTTTTGGTATCTTCCCATGTTTAGCTGACAGTTCCTGCAGATAGGTAAGCAAGTGGTTGATGTGGGACATGTATTGCCTGAAGTGTATGTGGAATATCTATATGCTATGTGGTGGATGGGATATAGCTATTTTTGGTAACATTCACATCTAACTGCCAATTCAGTCATGATTGAAGTAAAAACCTGCAGGCAAAGTTGGTAAGGATAACTACTTAAAATGTTGTAATCTGTATACTCCTGCCTGATATAACCAATCTCAACCTAACCTAACCTAACCTCACATAGCCTAACCTATCTCTCTGCCCTTATGACTACTCCTACCACTGCTACCCATACTGCTATGCCTACTCCTACCCAAACTCCTACTCCTGCTATCATCCCTACCCATTTTTCTTGCTACTGCAGTAGGGGGGCTTTAACCCATGTTCAGCTGACTTGCTGAAAGCTCAGCTGTTTGCCTATGCATGGGATGAGGTGCCAGGTACTAGGGAAGATGTCTTGGTATAAGGCAATATGTTTTAGACAGTTCAGACCTGACACAACTGCCTTTCACCTTTATGATTCATCTCTACTGATCAAAAAATTTGCATTTGCAAATCCATGGTCAAATAATGGAGACTCCTATTTGTTCCATATGATCCAGTCCCAGATTCCAGTCTCATATGCTGAGGCTAGAGCTATCCTAAATCCTACATTGGTAGCTGATATGCTTTCAGGAAATGCTCTTAAAATTCAGTTTCTGGTTTGGAAAACAAAACCCTGGTGCTTGTGTTCCTAGTGCTGTCTTAGGTACACTTACACACATACTCAGCAGATGTTAGGTTTGCTATGAATTTTATGACACACAGGCATCTAAAAATTGAAAAGATATATTGCCATTTTAAGATGGGCTTAGGTTGTCTTGAAAACAATCAGTTTCTGACCCATGGCTCTGATCATGTCACATCAGGTTTAAAGCAAGCCTTCTTGCTTTTGTCATGAAGTGTTGGAATCATGTTTTCATTTTGCAAAAGAAGAAATTCAGTCACCTTGCTCCTGACTGCTCATGATATATTAAACCAATCATCAACAGTAGCAGCATTTGGAAGCCAGCCAATCAGCTATTGCCATTCTTGGTGTTGATTATATGATGCCTTCGTCCTTGAATTTGGGAAGCAGTAGTGTTGAATGCAAGCTGTTTTCCAGATCAGGAATGGGAGCTCTATGGGTCTGAAGAGGTGGGAGAGAGCGCATGAAAGCTGCTCATGCATGTAGTCTTGTTCATTATGGCTAGCATGCCCATGAAGTATAAGTATTATTGCACTACTGTGGCCACAGCTGCCAAACCTTTCAATCTTTTCATATTCATTGCTCTTGTGGATTGAAATTACCAGGCATGACCAGACTTGTTGATGGCCATTTGTCATTCATTGTCACTTGTGGAATAGCTCACAGTTGCTAAATCAGGAGACCTTTTCAGGTGTTAAACTCTCATGAAATGTGAACTTTAACACTCTCAAGAAATGTGAACTTTACATGCATTGCTCAAATCCATTGGTATTGGTTGCCAATGGCATCCAGCTCCAGTAACTCACCTGTATCAGCACTCTGTGATGACATGTGATGGCTCTCATGGGTTTTATTGCCTCCTATATATATATATATATATATATATATATATATATATATATATATATATATATCACATATTATCACAGTGCTGATGATGGATTATATATGACATATGATATGTATACACATTTTATATATATATATATATATATATATATATATATATATATATATATATATATATATATATATATATATATATATATATATATCACATATTATCACAGTGCTGATGATGGATTGTATATGACATATGATATGTATACACATTTTATATATATATATATATATATATATATATATATATATATATATATATATACAAAATATATACCACACTATCCCACATATCATGCTAATGTTCCAGAATAACATATTCCATTCTCACAGTTACACACACAGTACACAAATAATGAATATATGATGCCATCTTACAGTTAGGTATAACAGTTAGGCTTCATCAAGTTGAATTCAACTGCCAAATGGTAAAGAGTCTAAATTAGTTGGCGTTATTTTTTAAGAGCATAAGAATTTGAGCAGCAAAACACATGCTGAATAGTACAATATGCCATTAACGGAAGTTGTCAATCATTCCTAAGTAAGGTCAAGGGTGATGGAGGGGTTGGTTTGCTTGTTTAGTTCCAGTGACGTTTAAGTCATGACAGCCTCCAGAATATAAGGCTTCCTCCCATTTGATGATGTTATGATGGTGGCGTTTCTGGTAAGGTCGTCTTGGTCGATGTTTCGGCGGTGTTCTTTCTGCCCGTGCTCGTTCGCAGTGCCCTCAGCCAAGTGCGTCATCAACTGCCTTGAAAATATGATTGTGACACCAACATAGTTTGGTTGCTTCAGGAGCCTGCAGCCTCATATGTCACAACAAAATTAGTAAACGACGTCGGTTTATCATCACAAAAACATTACCATGGCAACCCCATCGTCAAACAGGAGGAAGCTTTATGTTCTGGAGCCTGTCATAACCAAAACATTGTCAGCAGAACTAAGCAAGCAAACCAGCCCCCTCAGTCACCCCTCGCCTCATTTAGGGACGACCGATAACATCTGGTAATGGTATATCTTTCTGTTCATCACATGTTTTGCTGCTTGAATTCTTATGCTCCTAAAAAATGTCAGCCACCTAATTTAGATTACAATTTAGCAATTGAACTGAGCATGATAAAAGCTAATTGTTTTACGTAACTGCAAGATGTAATCAAATATTTGTCACTTGTATGCTGTGTGTGTAACTTGGAAAATGGGATATGTCATTGTGAAACATAAGTACAATCAATAGATTCCAAACATCAGTGAGCCACTTTTTAGTCTCAATGGGGAGCAGAGAGTGATAATTAGAAAGCTCAAGCAAGGATATAAAAGACATAAAATTTACATTAAAATGTACATAGGGTCTTAAACCATATATATATATATATATATATATATATATATATATATATATATATATATATATATGTATATATATATATGTATATATATATATATAATCTTTTTACTGCTATTTTGCACAATATACTGGCAATGCTAAGATGGCCCTAGTTCAGTGATGCCATGCAAATGGTCAGACCTGTATTCCAGGCCACTTTTTTCATCCTGTAGTGGTTCCAGGCAGCATGCAGGCTCATCACACTTCCTCTCACTCTTCACAGGAAGAACGTGGCCGACTACAGTGCCTCCCGCGAGAAGAATGACCTGGGCTTCCTGACGTTCGACCTGGAGGCGGACCTGACGTCTGTGTTCAACTGGAATGCCAAGCAGCTGTTCCTGTACCTTGTGGCCGAGTACCAGACGCCGAAGAACACACTCAACCAGGTGGTGCTCTGGGACAAGATAATCTTGCGCGGAGAGAACGCCAAGCTTGATGTCAAGGGCATCAACACCAAGTACTACTTCTGGGACGACGGCAACGGCCTCCGGTAGGTTTGTCCACAAACAGGCTGAACAATCCTAACAGTCAGTCCCCACAATGGTCGAAGCACATGTCTCCATCAAACTGCTTTTGGCACGTGTTGCCTGATTGCAGCAGCGGAGAAGAAGCGTCAGGTAATCTGCTCTCACCAAAAATGCTGATTGCCGTGACTTATTTGTGTGTACATTATTATATGCTGTGGGCATGTCATATTCAGTATTTCATTTGTGGAAGAGCTGGCAAATGACTGCAGCCATTTGACCATATGGAATGTGCTAAAGTGATATGTTTCCTCCATGGCTCTTCACTTGCTTTGGGGACAGTAAACCACTTTTCAATTTCGTTGGCACCCCAAAAAGCGTCCAATATCGCAAGAGGCACACAAAGGGACCAAAAACGGCATACATTTGGACAATTTGGGGTCTGGCCATCAACTCACAACTATTGTTGTTGGCGATGCTCACGACTGCTAGTCCCCGCAAATAAGAGGCCGGTTCATCTAGGTCCAGAAAAAACGGAGGAGTTCATTATGAACACATTGGATAGACTGCTCCAATTAATGGGTAGGTTTTGTTCCGTTCTAACTTGTAAAAGCTACATGTACTGCCGTGTATTGTGAAAAAGTGATCGCTAGTGTGTTTATTTATAGCAATCGCTAGTTTGTTTACATTGGCATTCGTTTCGACTTAAATTGGCCCACCCCGAAGGATGGAAGAGGCATAGTATGGACACAGATATCTGGATATTTCTGCTGTGATGCTTTGTGTACGGCTTGGATAAGAGATTGACCCGGGACGCGAGGTGTCTCATCACAAGAACTCTGAAGCGTTGGAACATGATGTGTTTACATAATTTTACATTGTTGTCTCCAAGCTACCTAAATGACGATTTTATAACCAATCACACACCTTTTAGTAGTCATTGTCTTGTTTGATGGCTCGGAGTTCTTCCTGACAACAGGCACCTACCATCTGTCTCTCATTACAGGGACAACAAAAACGTGACGTTATCTCTACGGTGGAACGTGATTCCGAACGCGGGTCTGCTTCCGAATGTGGCGGCGCAAGGCGTGCACACGTTCGCTTTCCCCGCGCAGTACGCTACGGCCAGGAGAGCCTGAGCCCGCCGGCCGCGAGTGCCATCTTTTGTTCATAGTTGGAACTGATGATTTTGCGTGTACGAACCAGATGCGCCTGCCCCGTTCAGAGGAAATGCCAAGCTGCAGATGGCGTGTTTGCTCGAGCATACATGCGGTCAGGGTGGCTTGGTGCTGTATATATTTGATGCGTGTGCCTCGAGGTACGCAGCGGTGGACGATAACAGGCGCGCTTCTCAAAGGGTACTGCTGGGACATTTTGTCAGACCCATTGGATTGGATTGGCAATGTTCAATTCAGGAAACCCGAAGTGTCGAAGCTGGCGTTGTTTGCAGAATCGGGTCGAGCACATCTTCTTACTGTTCTCCTAACCTTTCCTGAACTGTGTACAGGCTTTTCCGCGCGCGCCACCCGTTTTGAGAGCTGGTGCTCTTCCCATGGCGTGGCAACCCAAGCTGCACGGTGTCCGTCTCACCGAGCCCCAGTGCGTGCAAGTTGAGCAGCAGGCTGGGGGACCATGCATTGCAAAATCAACGGGCATCGTCCCAGTTGTGCATTTCTTGAGGTGCTGCTTGCTGGTGCGGGGACTCGGAATGCCAGCGGTGGTGTTTTGAGGCGTCTGCTCGTGCCGATCTCAACAGCGCGTGCGGTTGTTGGGTGCACCTTCTCAACCTTTGAACATTGCGTTGGTGGGTGGGTGGTTTGATGCCGGTTGCTGGGTGGCAATCTGGTTATCTTTTTGCACGGACTTGTGGGTGCTGATTTAGATATGTCGGAGCGCGGACTATTTGTGCATATATTGTGCATTTGAATAAAACAATGGAGCTGGTCGGGAAACCACATTGTTTCCAAAATGTGCAGCAATCGGAAATGACAAGGATGTGCTGTCAACGCATCCACCCGGTCGCCAGTCATAAATATTTAATTCCGCCGGTCTTGCGCTGGTTGTGGAGCTGGGACGGAATAAGCCATGAAAGCGCCGTTTGGTACATGTTCAGAGTGTCAGAAAGCTTTACCGGCCATCAGAGGTGTGATTTCTGGAGAGGTGCGCAAGAGCAGCGGAAGTGAAGACACTGGGCGTTCGCACGGACTAATGATCGCATCATTACTGTTAAGCAGAGCTGGGGTGCCGGTGGTGTAGTGGTTAACGCAGATGCGTTAACCACTCCGCGTCTGGGAAACCAGAGGTATGGGGTTCGTTTCCCCGCGGTGCCCGCTGTTCCTGCCAGGGTGGGGGGCAGGCGACGCCATATAGCCTCAGCAGCTGAGTGCGTCGTAAAGCCCCAATGACACACGCACTATTAAGCGCAGCCAGCTGTTCACGTTTATTCGCGATACAAAATGCGTTGTGTCGCCCAGCGCTGCGCGAGGTTACAGTCGACACCGTCTAACACTATTGAAGGCCCACCGGTGGCATCCCGCCGTAAGTTTCACATTCACACCAAAAAACACGTAACGCTGCCCTTCGCTCCACCCGTCCTGACCGCGGCCGTTCGACGCCGCACCGTTTACGGAACCTTGTGTTTTGATTTGCGCACGGTGAGGTAGCGGGCCATCGGCCATGGCAGCATAGGCGTCATTGGAACCGCAAACCAGCAAATGAGACCGATTTTGATTGATCGATTTGTTCTCTGGCGTGCCCATTTCAGACCATTTCACGCCCAGCATCGTCCGGCATAACTCACATGATCATTCACATCCCCTACCAGCTAATCCAGAATGCTAGTGATGATGGTGGACTTGACTTTGTCACCATGTATCGGGGTGCCCCCGCTCAAGCAGCGTGTTAGCACCCAATACCCGGATCCTTTGGCACAGCCACCGAAGCACCGCTCACCATCCCGCCCACCACGTCAGCGCTCCCCGACCCCAGCCACGCGCCGGCCACACTCTGTCTTGATCCAGACCACCTCCATGGCGGAGGTTATGTTCTCAGTGAGGCCCGGGATTTGGACCCAGTTCAGCAGTATCTGGTTGGGCTCGTAGGAGAACGGGTAGAAGCCCATGCTTTGCAGCGCGAGGAACACGGAGTACGTCTGGCGGTAGAAGGCGCCGTGCTCTTCCACCGGCAGGTGAGGACGGAAGTGCAGCTCAATGCCTAGCTGCCGCACGTTGCGGAACAGCGTCGAGCGGCGGCCGCGCGCCACCTGCTGCTTCAGCACGGCCCACTCAGCGTCCTCCACGTCCATCTTGAGATAGTCGATGGTGCGGCCAGCGTGGCCGAACTCGGCCACGAGGCTGTCGAGCGTGCGCAGCGGCCAGCCGCGCTCGTCGCTGCCGTCGTGGCCGCCGACGCCGACGGGCTGGAACCGGATCCGACCGCCCTGGTCGTCGGGCGTGGCGTTGATGGACGGGTCGAAGGCGAACACGTCGCAGTCGAGCGCCTCCATGTCCCAGTCGAACGTCCAGTCGTTCCAGATGCCGATCGAGTAGACGAGGCACGCGTCACCGGCGGCCAGGCCCAGCTCCGGGTCGAAGCAGGCGAACTTCTGGCCGTCCAGCACCAAGCTGCGGTTGACGTCGAGTTCCAGCGAGCCGCCCAGCCGCGCCACTTTGCGGCACGCGTCGGTGTGCGGCTGCATCAGGTAGGTGAAGAGGCGCTGCGCGAGCAGCTTGTCGTCCTGCGGCATCGGTGGCAGCGCGTTGACGGCCATGTCCGGCCGGCAGGCGAGCTCGAGCGCCGGGCCGCGCTCGTCGGGAGGCCTGGTCCAGAGCAGCAGCGGCGCGCAGCAGCTGGCGGCCGTCAGCAGGACCACGGTCACCGTGTTGGGCCGAGGCCGCATCCGACACCGACGCGGCCACGGTATGCACGCCATGCACTCGTCGTCGAGAGTCAGGTCGCACGTTGGCGCGGAACACACACAGAAGGACAGCGGGCAGCTGAAGCACTGGTCGTTGCAGCTCACCGCTTCTCCAGCCCTGGGCTAGTTCACAGCGGGGAGTGGTGCTCCCAGCGCTAAAACGGTGAGCAAATACTCAGCACGATCACGGCCGGATCTACCGTCCAATTTCGGGGGGAGGAGGATTAAACGCTGATTTTTCACGCCAGCCTAGGACACAGTTAAAAAAATGGTACTATTGTTGTATTAAGAGGGCACCCTTAATAACGTCAGTCAACACTAAAACGCATGATCGCATCGGTCAGGGTTTTGTCACGACTCACGCTGGTATGCACACGGACGGTAATCGACTGCCGCGATGGTGCACACACCGTCACACAACATGCAGGCTCGTGGGAACACTTCCCGCCGCAGCACGTCAAGCTCCCAGCTAACGCCAGGCGGTACACCGGGCGCCGGCTCGAGCCGCGAGCTGTCCGGCGCCGGAGATCGCAGTGCAAACGGTCCGCAGTCCCGCCCTCGGCCGCGAGAGGTATGCGCGACCCGCCGCCGGGGTTGGAGCCGAGGTGAGTGACCCGCGCTTGCGCTCGGCTGCCGTGCGAGGAACTAATTTGGCATGCTGCAGGGAGAGAGGGGGAGAGTTCCCAGTGAGAGCGTGGGTGTGCTGCAGTGGGGATGCAGCGGTAGCGGTGGGAAAGACGATGGGAGGTTGAAAAGAGACAACCGGATAGAGAGGAGAGAGAGAGAGAGAGAGAGAGAGGAGAGAGCGAGAGAGAGAGAGAGAGAGAAGAGAGGGAGAGAAGAGAGAGAGAGGAGAGAGAGAGAGGAGAGAGAGAGAGAGAGAGTAGATAGATAGAGAGAGATGCGAGAAGAGAGAGAGAGAGAGAGAGAGAGAGAGAGATAGAGAGAGAGAGAGAGAGAGCGAGAGGGCGAGAGGGCGAGAGGGAGAGAGGGCGAGAGGGGCGAGAGGAGGGGCGAGGAGGGCGAGGAGGGGCGAGGAGGAGGGAGAGGGCGAGAGGGGGGAGAGAGGGAGAGGGAGGAGAAGGGCGAAGTGGGGAGGGATCGAGGGAGAGGAGGGAAGGGAGAGAGGGGCGAGAGGGAGCGAGGAGAGGGGCGAGAGGAGAGGGGCGAGAGGAGGCGGGAGAGGGGAGAAGGGGGAGGGGAGGGGAGGGCGAGAGGGCGAGAGAAGGAGAGAGGATAGAGAGAGAGAGAGAGAGAGAGAGAGAGAGAGAGAGAGAGAGAGAGAGAGAGAGAATGGATAAAAAGTGAGCGATTTAAAGCAAAAAAAGGGAGTGAAAATGGAAGAGCCATTTTCACTCGGTTTCAGCTCCCGAATGTCTCGTTCGAATGTCTCGTTCAGTCGAGATGCTTCAAGCAGAACATCGTTTCGAACCTCTCAGCCGCCTCTGGCCCATGCCTCCGTACCTCCATGGTTCCGAACTCGTCGCATTGCAGGCAAGCATCTGAGGAGCGGTTGACTTTCCGAGAACTCTTAACACGCGCTGGGGTGAGGGGTCAAACTGACCCCCCCCCCCCCCCGAAGGTTTGTCAGGAATGGTTTCCGAACGGGATGGCGTAGCCGCGGACAATTATGCATAACTGCAGACAATTGAATAGCGAGTGGTCTGGCATAAAACAATTTATGTGTACCTTGTAATTCCGCTAACCTATCAAATGTCAGTGACCTTACAGGGTCAAAGTCAGGCCATGGTTGAGCGAAGGCAATTTCCAGGCAATCGCTTAATCTGATCCAACCACGAAATATTAGACGAAGCCATACATCTCCGAGATACTTTTTTGGGCAACACAGCAATTGAATGAGCAGATTACATTAACCTAGGGTCAGGCATAAAGGTCAGACCAAGATCAAAACCAACTTGTTTTATTACTCAAGGTTTGCTGTAGGGGGTTATTTCTGGCGCCCATCTCGATTTTATTGATGGCAGGAACGCCTTTATAAACCTTCCATGAATTTCTTCAAGGTCACAATAGTTTACTGACCTAAAATGATCCAGGTCAACATTTTGTTTTTAGGAACATACTGCCTAACGTAACCTTTGTCGCTTATTCAAATGCAAAACGCAATGCAGTGTTGGGTGATCTTGGTCACCACGGCATTCAAAAGGTCAAACACGGTCATAGACTCTAAATGAGCATGTGACCTTTAGCTTTGAACAGTTATCTAGGTTCTGGGGGCCCTTTGGAGACAAAGCTGGAATTTGACCTTTTTTGACCCTTCTTGATCCAAACGTCATGGCCTAGGAACCTCAAAATCTGATTAAGTGAGTTCATATACCGGGCAACACACCCTGTGAACTTCGTGTCTTTAGCCTTCTTATTTTCTGAGATCTCGGGGGGGGGGGTCAAGTTGACATCCCATCCGAGCAAAGGGTATTCAACCGGCCACCCGGACGCGTGTTAACACGCACCCAGGTGGCCGGTTGAATACCATTCGCTCGTGTTGTGGTCAATTTGACCGCCTGAGATCTCAGGAACTAGGAGTGAACTCTTTTAGGTCAAAGTTTGAGGCTACTTAGTCATGACCTTCGAGACAAATAAGGTCAAAATTGGTCAACCTCCAAACTGGTCTCCAAAGTGCCCCAGAACCTAGCTACCTGTTCTAAGCAAAAGGTCCCATGCTCATTTAAGGCCACCGACTTTATTTGACCTGTTGAAGGTCATGGTGACCAAAATAATACAAGATCGCTTTGAGTTTTGCATTTGCATAAGCAACAAATATTACGATAGGCGGTATGTTCCTTAAAACAAAATGTTGACCTGGATCATTTTAGGTCAATAGCCTATTCTGACCGTTAAGAAGTCCATGGAAGATGCGTAATGCGGTTCCCGTTATCAACAAATTTGAAATGAGTACCAAAACTACTTAAACAGCATTCCCCGGAGTAATAAAACAGGTTGGTTTTCGCCTCGGTCTGGCCTTTATTCCTGTCCCTAGGTCAATATGGTTCATTCATTTGATTGTTGTTTCCTAAGGAAG